CGCCAATTAGAAGGAAAATTTCCTGATGTCCATATGTGGTTGTAAATTTTTAATAGGAAGGATAAGGAGGAAGATGGGAGTTGCCGGAGCATACGGTAGTGAATACCGTCAGGGCCTTCATGAGTGTTGCGGCACGATTGTAGGGCAGTAATGAGTTCAGAGGAAGAAAATGGGGCATTATAGGACTCAGCGGAGGATGGGGTGAAGGTAATGGGGGTACGTTCTCTGGTGGTCTTGATAGAAGAGAAGTGTGGAGAAAGGTGAGAGCCACTACTGACCTGGCTGAAATAATCACCCAGTTCATTAGCGACTTGGAGAGGATCAGAATGAGGGTATCTCGAATATGGAGGACGGGGGCAGGATGGGGGGGATGTTTGCCTGATAGTTTATGGATTCGTCGCCATACATTTGAGATAGATGTAGAGGATGTAATTGATGAAACATAATTTCGCCAGCTATTTGTTTTACTATTCCGGATTGTACGACGAAGACAGGCAGATGCTCTTTTAAAGGAGATAAGGGCTGATAGTTGATTTGGAGTACCTCTCTTGTAGCGGTAACTGTTCCAGGCTGCACGTTTTAAGCGAAGTGCTTTAGTGCAATCAGAATTCCACCATGGAACACATTTAGAGGTATATGGTCTTGAGGTTCGAGGGATAGCTGTATGTGCAGCTCTTAAGACTGTAGTTGTGAAACATTGTATCATTTCTGAAATGGAGGTGAGGGAGGATGGAGGGGTATGAATAGCAGAGAGTGAAGTGAAAGTATGCCAGTCGGCTCTATCAAAGCACCAGCGTGGGGAGTTAGGAAGTGGTACGTATGAAGTAGGAGAAAGGAGAACTGGAAAGTGGTCACTATAGGGAAAGTGGTCTAAGACTGACCAGTGGAAATCTATATGAAGAGAAGGGGAGCATAGAGAGAGGTCAATGCATGAAAAAGATTGCGTGCGTGTATCAAAGTGTGTGGGGCGATCTGAATTTAGAATAGTAAGGTCAGCTGTGGAGAGGAAGCGCTCTAGAGATCGGCCTCGGGAGTTGGTAATAGAATCACCCCAAAGAGTGTGGCGGCAGTTAAAGTCGCCTACTATGAGGAAAGGTGGTTGAAGTTGGGAAATTAGATTTTCAAAAGCAACAAAGTCAATGGGGTGGGAAGGGGAGAAGTAGACTGAAATCACTGTGATCCAACGATGAAGGAAGATACGAATAACTGTACAAGGGACATTGGTTTGAAAGGGTGGTGTGACATAAGGTGTTTTCTGATTGATAAGTATAGACGAGACATAAAGGGAATGTGGGGAAGAGACAAAATGATAATTGGGGATTGGTATTGGAGGATGTGTAAGAAAGGTTTCTTGAAGGCATACAATAGATGGGTTATAAGAGGAAAGGATATGACGAAGGTCAGGTCTGTGGGAGCGGAAACCGCGAATATTCCAATGAAGGATAGTTATACTTTCGTTGATTTAGTGATATAGATTGCAGTACGTGTTGGAGACTTTGAGGGGGAATCAGCTAGAGGGTGGGATAAGGACTGAGAGGTTTGAGATGGAAGAGATGTGGGAGTTGGTGTTCTATTAGGAGGGGTATTAGGAGATGGAGGGTCTGAGGAAGGGGATACTTGTGACATAAGGGATTCACGTGTGTATCCAGGAGGGAGTGGAAGGGATAGAGGGGATGGTGGGAGGGTTAATGTGGGCTGGGTTGGGGTCGGGGTCGGGGGGGATGGGCTGTGTTGGGAGGGGGTAGGAGGATAGGGTGTAGGGGGGATATCGTTAGGAGGGGGATGGATATCAGCAGTTACTTGGAGTGTGGAAGGAGCAGGGGTTGTAGGTTGAGTGTCAGTTTGCATTAAGTAATCTTGAATATTTTCAATAGTTTCTTCTGAGGAGTTGGTTGGGGAGTTGTGGGGGATAAAGGATTTCTTGTGAGGGGGGGAAGAGAGGACTGGTGTTTCAAGAGTAGGGGCAAAGGATGGTGGAGGTGATTGTGTGGTAGGGGAAGAGGGGGTGGAACGTTTGTTCTGTCTGTTACGGTAGTGCGAGGAGGGAGAGGGGAAGGTGTTGGGGTTGTAGTGGTGATTGGAGTATCTGTATTAGAGATTGGAGTTTCTGGATTTAGGATGGCAAAAGAGTTAGACTGGGGAAGGTAGGAGGTAGAAGTGGGGGGGTTAGATGTAGGAAGGGTGGGTTTAGGAGAAGTGTTAGAATGAGCAGTATTACTGGAGTAAGGAGTGAGAGAGAATCCACGTCGACGTGCTTCCTGTCTGGCTTCACGCAGTGTGAGTCCAAGTTTGAATTTGAGAGTTGCTACCTCAGATTCAAATTTGTAGGTGGGACAGCCCCTATAAAATACATTATGGGGGCCGCCACAGTTGGCACATGTGCGTGATTGTGCAGAGCAGTTAGATCGGGTATGGCCAGGTTGGGCACATAATGGGCATCTGGCTGTGGAACGGCAGTGTTTGGCTGGGTGTCCTAGACGCCAACAATTTTGGCACTGACGTGGAGGAGGTTGGTATGGACGAACAGGGAGGGATTCTCCTCCTATGTAGACGTTAAAGGGAAGGTCATGTCTGCGGAAGGTAATTTTGGCTATGTTAGTGGGTTTCTTTCGATGACCTCTGGGGGGGATTGAGTAGCATTGTACTGATGTTGCATCGTAGTCTGTGAGACAGGCAAGTAGATCTTCTCCACAATCTGACCAATCTTTGTCATAGATTGGGCAATTTGCTGGTGAGATTGAGACTGTTCCGGTGCAAGTATTGAGGGTTGGATGGGGTTCTGCTAGGATGGGGTTACCATATTGGTCAGTTAGTTTTGTTAGTGCTATGGCTTGGTTTTCGGATGTTACTGTTACAAGACGGGAGCGGTCGGGTCGGCTACGGAAAGAGACTTTACCTACTTGTTTTTGGAGGCATTGTTGGAAGAGAAGGGTGTTGTCAGAGTAGGGAGCTGTGGGAGGGATCACGAAAAATCGGTCCCATTTGGCTGCACTGAAGAGAGTATTCAAGATTGTTTTAGAGATAGGGGTGGTAGAAGGGCGAGGGCGTGACGAAGATGGAGTAGTGTTGATGGAGGTAGTGTTATGGAGAGGTGGGCTATAAGGCTGTAAGGTATTAATAAGGGAGGATGGGGTGGTTGATGTTGGAGGTTGTGGGGGTAGAGGTGTTGAAGTTGGGTATGCTGGGAGAGTGGAAATGTTCCTTGAGGGTTGATTATTGGCTACTGTACTAGTAAGCATTGGTGAAGGGGTAGTTATTGCAGTGTTCGGAGCCGTGGTCAAAGGAGAGCCTGGGGTCGGGGAATCAGGTGGGTTTACTTCGTTGGGGCTATTTGATAAAGGGGCAAGCCTCATTGCCCCTAACAGTGGAGATATATTTTCATTACTGGCCATGGGAAGCCTGGATTATGTTGGGGATAAAAACAGTCCACCCCTCAGGGTCCCCTTGAGGGGTAAGGGCTAGATAACTAAATCAGGGGAATACCGTGCCCATGGCTCCCTCAGGCCGTTCAGGACTGGCACAAAGTCAGCCTTTCATCCTTTCAGCACGGCTCTCACACCTTAGGAGGTGGATAGCAGAAGGGTTTGGTGAAGGGACAGAAACAAAAGTGGGAAGGGAAAAAAAAGACCATGCATAATTAGTTGAGTCGAGGGCTGAGTCCCAAGGTTGGGGAGTTCCCCATCATTGGGTCCCAGTCTCCGCCTCCTAAGCCCCCCCACGGCAACAACGGGCAAGGGATTGGGGGGGTCAACTTTACAATTGCCCGGCGATCATGCCTGCTTATGTGGACAGGCCTTTAAGCAATGTACTGTTGGGTTCTTAAATAAATAGATACCCCTTCGCTCATTCTCCGTCATCTTTTTCTTTATTTTTCTCTTACGATCTCGGCGAAACATACTCGGTAAACAAGTAATTCATCGATTTCTTCCCTTTACACCTGCCCATCGATCATGCCTGCCTCTGTGGACAGACCTTTACTCATCTCAGCCTGGACTCAAGAAGACTGACAAACTGCCGGTACTATGCCTAGCCAACAAGGAAAGTTAATGAACTCAATAGAAAATAGTTTAAGCTTCAAAATAAAAAGGTCTTCCTTTAAATTTACAGTTTTATCGTACTATATTAATGGATATAGATAGTTAAACGCTGGCAATGTTATGGTAATTGTTCCCTTATCTGGATCCCCATAATGACTAAGAAGGGTAAAACTACATATATTAAGTCAGACTGTGGGTTGTGGCATCTTATACCAATGATAGTATTTAATGAAAGACAACAATATCTTTTACTGCTCTTAAGAATTACCTTTTCTTAAATAAAAAGTATCTAATGACTTAAATCATTATAAACACTGTTATACAGTAATTTCAACTTGGACAATAAAATTCACTTTTAAATAAATAATTTACTAGAAATAACAAAAAAGTATGAAGTAAAACAATACATTAACACGTAAATAACCAAAATAATGAAACCCCTGAGGATTACTTTGTACAAAGGATAGAATACATCAATAAGTACTTTGCGCCTGCCTCTTTTGAGAATAGTCTGAAAGAATTTCCCAATTTCACAAAGCACTTTTTTTGCAACCCATCACATGGGTTATAATTAACCTGAAGCCACTAGGGATGGCATGTACACACATGTCAAGCCCACTAAGTTCAATTTATTAATCTTATTTACACAGAGATGTCAAAACATTGGCAAAGCTATCTCTGTGCAGAGATTTCACAAAACAATACTACAGTGAACACATTCTCTTGTACACTTTGGGTTAGGGTCACCCCGATTGTTCAAAAAATACCCTGTCATAACAGTGAAGATTGTTACATAAGACCCTTCCAATTTTCCTTAAATTATGTCACCTAAATCTAGATTTTGATTTAGTCTGCAATTTGCAGAAAAAGAAAACACTAATGAATTAACAAGAACAGATCTTCTATTTTGGTAAGAGTATCTCCAACATAATAAAGCAATCTTTCCTAGTATAAGGGAAGACTGTCATGATATTCATGTCACCTCAATTAACCTCTGAAGAGATGAAGCTTCTAGGTCTCTATTTTTTCTTCTTTGCAGGAGGCCCATTCTTTGTTGGTGCTTGTTTTTGTTTGCCTGTAAAAAAATAGCAAATATCATTCTCCATTCTGTTAAATATTCATAGATCTTTCTAAACTAAAGAACATCTCAAAGATCATATTGTATCTAATAGTTTTTAAAGAAAAAGAAAAAAAAAAAACTTTTGTAATCTGTAATTCATAAATTTACCTTTTCCTTCCCCTTGAAGAGTGAAGATGCATACACAGGAAAAACATCACTCCCTGACTATCACTTCCACAGACTGGATATCTAGAGGGCCTACATTTGCATTTTCATCTGTTAAACCAATGCAAACACATGCTGTTTGTTGAAATGTTACCAAGAAGAATGAAAATGAAGAAGTAGTGAGAGAAGCAGCAATCTTTGCAAAGCACAAGAAACTGGCATGCGTAATAATGGTAAAATTTGCAAGCATGAAGTAGGAAGAGCAAAACAGCTTAAATATAAAGAAGGTTAGAAAGCTGGGAACTGATGAACAAAAAAAGCATAATTAAAATAATTACAAAAAACACTAAAGAGACTAGTACGTACTTATCAGATAAAAGCCATGCAAAACAAGAAATGAAACACTGAATGATGAACTATAGTACATCTAACAGCATCTGAATTAATATAAGGACACTTTTTTGTTTGACACCTTCAGACTATAATATTTATAAGCTATTTGAAGCCATTTATATAAAATTTTATTTGTACTGACACATATATATTGGCATGATGTGATACTAGTGTAAGTGTGTATATACATTTACTGATAATCACATTGACTCGTGCACCTGGCAGTCTCTTGCATCTTCCACGCAAGTACTGTGAATGTGGATTAACTTCAATCCAGAATTAACTTTTATAACGCATACAGATGCCAATGGTTTGGTATGGTCCTATTGTGAATGGCTTAACCCACTGGATACAGGTGCCTCACTGCCTGTACATGGCCCAAAAGCCAGGGATTATGCTTGTTTGAGTTGCCATTCTCCTTGGTGTGCAGCTTGTATGTCCAGCCTACATGAACACTTCTGGGGCAGTGTCAAGACTCTTTCCTCCCCTTTGTAATAGTATTCTCTCTTTTCTGGCATGTGTTTTTTGCCCCTTTCAAGGTCTATCACTGTCATTTGATATGCTGTACCCAGATGGTATTAGACTTTTCTTTGTATTATTTCTCTGGCTAGTCTGTAACTCTGTGCAATAACAATACGTAGCTAACATTTTATTTATGTAATCTCTTTATATTTTTGTAATACTCCTTTTTCTATGATATAACCTGTGCCATTGGTCAAAATGGGCAGGAACAGGATCCTGAGCACCTTCCCTTATCAATTTTTTTTTCATGACATGATGGTCACAACACCTGAATCCTAGGGGTGTCCTTCCATTTCTGCAGATGCCACTGGATTTACTATAACACATTACAACAAGCTTCTAATAACAACCACATTCTCCACGAACTTCCACAAATAATTTACCTGCTTGATAGGCTTGTCCCATGCGCTTCAGGTTCTCCTCCCGGGCCTTCTGATGGTCAACGATGGGCCTTGGATAATCTTGGCCTATGATGCAACCTGCTGCCTTCTGCACACTGAGGGGTGCTTTCCAAGGCTCATAGATATAGTTGTCAGGGAACTTTTTCAACTTTGGAATGTATTTTCTGTGTGAAAGAATTGCATAATGTATTCAATTATCATTATCAACAGTAATAAAAAATAGCTCTTATATCACAAAAAAAAAAAAAATAATAATAATAATGACAAGAGAGATTACAAAGGAGAAAAAATATCTGAGAAAGAAGAACACAAGTGAAGACATCATATACATTTTCATGAAGCTAACCTCCATACCTCCAGAAGGCATAAGAGGGAACAAAAGGGGCCAGAAGAGGAGGAAGAGTTGTAATATATGGATGTTGATGAGAAGTGTTAAGAGTAATAGAAGACGAAAAAGATGATCCATTAAAAAGAAACATTCCTACCTGATATAATCACCATGAGGATCCGTTTTCCTGCCAAACTCAATAGGGCTGTAAACACGGAAGTAGCGGTGGAAGAAGGCAGATGCGGAAAGCCACATCCAGTTTCCAGCATTTAGCGACCAGTCTGCATCGAGCAGCAACTCTTCAAATACCTTAAAAAAAAAAATAATAAATAAATAAATAAATAAATAAATGTGAATAAATAAATAAATATTTTGTTCTACTGCCACTTATACTACAAATACTGAAGACTACATCTTCCACTTCATACAACAAACAACCTACCTTCATGCCATCCTCCCAGGGCTGCCACAGGTCACCTCTTGTTAGGAAGCAAGCCACAGCATGTCTGGCCAAGTGGTGGACCCAACCTTCTTTGCGTAACTGTGTCATGATTGCATCTATGAAAGGGAATCCAGTCTTACCCTGAGGGAGAGAATAAGGTCAAAAGACCATGCATGAAGATGGCTTTTACCGTGTTTAAACAACATATTTAGACTTACAATATACTATAAATAATATGACTTGAATAAAGCTGCACATAAAGCTCTTATTTTCTATACAGTACTCATACAACAAAAACCTCTGACATAAGATTCACATAATCATTTAAATCCATACAAATGCTAAGAAAAAAAAAATGATATTATCCTGAAAACACTATATAATTCACAAAACATACAAATGCTGAAAAAATACAACAACATTAACACATATGTGTGCAGCTGCATACTTTTTTCCCATTATTAACAATACAAATTAATTTAGGGAGGTATGAGAGACAGAGAGAGAGACAGAGAGAGAGAGACTGACTCTGAAGAACAGAGACAGAAAGGCAAGGCTTGTCTATTCATCAGAACAAACAGGCAACACTTACATATTCCCAAGCCTCCAGCATTTTCTCATCTCTCTTCCAGGGGATTTGTCTGCAAATTGAATTCCCTTCCATCTGGTCAAAATTTGCAGTTGTTGCTCCAACTGTGTAAAACATTTCTCGAAAGGTGAGTTGTCCTAAGAGTGACTCTTGTGCAATCTGTGAAGGCCTACTCCCAAAAACCTGAAAAATCATAAAAATAATCATTTCATTTTTGCAATTTTCTAATCAACTAAATTTGAACAAGCACTTTTCCATTCCAAAGTAAGAAACACATTAACCTATTTGGGACGGGTAAAAATGAAAAAATGGAAAAGAAAAAGAAAAAGAAAGAAAGAAAGAAAAAAAAAAAAAAAAAAGGGAAAATGCTGTGCTCATTTTTTATACTTTTTGTGAAATACCTCTACACATAGATGGCTCTGCCTTACCTAATTTCAATTGGCTGGAAAATGTATTTTTTACTAGTGTTATGAATATCGATGTTTATTTTTATTATAAACATTATAATTACTATAATGGTATAAACATAAGTAACAGCAAAATAAGATAACGTAAAATATTTTTGTAAATTAAAGAAAAGGGTAAACGGGCGAGACAGGCAGTACAAGTCCAAGTGTAGCCATCTATATGACAAAACAATTAAACAAGTAAACTCACAGTGGGCATGTCACGTATACGTGATTCCCAGCACGAATGAGTTAACTGTCACTAGGGATATATCTTACCTCAAGTA